TAAGAAACAAAAACAATCATCGTGGTCCACACTTTAAAGCAGTGGGTATCTTATTCGATTAGAGTAGCACACGAGTTGGCGGTGGGTGTTGTGGAGTTGCGGCCTTTCCTCTAGTATATCACTTAAAAATTAGGGACGGCTAGAGTAGATAGCCTTACAGTAGATTTACGCTAAATTAAAAAAAAAACATCAGGTAAAATACAAACTTTTTCTCACAAGAAAACCTAAAATTGATTGTTGTTATTAGTGTTTTTGAAATAAATTATATCACATATCGTTTGCTTCACAATAATTGAAAATTCCAGTTTCGAGCTTGGCTGTCTAAGTTTTATTCTTTGAATATTCCTGAATAATGACGGAGTAATTTAGTTATAAAATCTAATTCAGATACCTACCGAAATACATACTTAACATTTTTAAATTATAAAACTACCTGAACAAAGAGGACACTCTTGTATATACTTTCCATAAGAACTCAGATTCCGTCAAATGCATTGAGCGTATTAAATAAATATACACTATAATCAGATACATAATTATACCCGCAGAAAGCTTTAAGTAGGTCCATAACTATAACCGTTTAAAACTTTAATTAGATCCACAGCTATAACCGTTTAAAACTTTAAGTAGGTCCATAAATATAACCGTTTAAAGCTTTAATTAGATCCACAGCTATAACCGTTTAAAACTTTAAGTAGGTCCATAACTATAACCGTTTAAAGCTTTAATTAGATCCACAGCTATAACCGTTTAAAGCTTTAATTAGATCCACAGCTATAACTGTTTAAAACTTTAATTAGATCCGTAACTATAACCGTTTAAAACTTTAATTTGGTCCACAGCTATAACCGTTTAAAACTTTAATTAAATTCACAGCTATAACCGTTTAAAACTTTAATTAAATTCACAGCTATAACCGTCTAAAACTTTAATTAGATCCACAGCTATAACTGTTTAAAACTTTAATTAGATCCGTAACTATAACCGTTTAAAACTTTAATTTGGTCCACAGCTATAACCGTTTAAAACTTTAATTAGATCCACAGCTATAACCGTTTAAAACTTTAAGTAGGTCTATAATTATAACCGTTTAAAACTTTAATTAGATCCACAGCTATAACCGTTTAAAACTTTAATTAGATCCGTAACTATAACCGTTTAGAACTTTAATTTGGTTCATAACTATAACCGTTTAAAACTTTAAGTAGGTTCATAACTATAACCGTTTAAAACTTTAATTAGATTCGTAACTATAACCGTTTTAAACTTTAATTAGATCCGTAACTATAACCGTTTTAAACTTTAATTAGGTCCATAACTATAACCGTTTAAAACTTTAATTATATCCGTAACTATAACCGTTTAGAACTTTAATTTGGTTCATAACTATAACCGTTTTAAACTTTAATTAGCTACATAACTATAACCGTTTAAAACTTTAAGTAAACTTCGTTTAAAGATCACCTATATTCAGTATGTTTTATCATATAACGATAATACGTTGTAAAAGACATATTGATAAATGATTGTTTATGTATATATATTTCAAATCATAAAGAGCATACCGTATAATCACTTTCTTTGTTTAAAGATCACCTACATTCAGTATGTTTTATCATATAAAGATAATACGTTGTAAAATACATATTGATAAATGATTGTTCTTGAGAGTATGTTATTCATCACGGATATATTCTGGGAAATTTACCTCAGATATGATAGACAGATATATAAGTTTATCATGTTTTTGTAGTTTAGTGTGAATTCTGGGTTTAAAAATCATTATTTATTAAGTTATGAAATTTTGCAGTTATTAACACTATACCGCAGGCATGTTATTTTTTTATCTCACATAAAAAGGTTTTGTCTACGAACGTTAACTCTACTGATCTGTATAATACAGATCAGTGGTTAACTCTCAGACGTGTGAAGGCGCAGAATGACCCTGTGGTAGAACTCTGAAAGTCGAACCTGGCAATCCTAGTTCGAATCCAAACGATACCACAAAATACTCGCCGAACAATAATCTGTGTGTACGTTAGGGTGTTACTGACTGGCTGCTTTCCTTCAGGTCCGTAGTCCACAATTAGGGACAATCGTCGAGTTTTACTAGATTTGCTATAAATACAAAAAAATATATTATTTAAAACATTTATTAATCCAGAATATCTAATTAATAATAAATAGAATTACACATCAATTTATGAGTAAAATATTCCCTCACGCAGTTGTTTAGAGCCTAGAAGTTTTTACTGATTGAATCGCCTCGTACCTCTGTAAATGGGCAAATCGCATGTTTTGGCTAATTTAATTCATCTTTTGGAATTATGTACAAAGATACCGATAAACTAAATGAAGTCTGGCACGATCTTGACGTTTTACCATGTAACATTCTGATGCAATTCTTAACAAAAAACAAAGCAACAAACCATTAAAATCTTAAATATACAAAAAGCGTATAATTTATTCTTCAGGATCGGTCTTCGTGTACTGTAGTAATGTTTCTTTTTTCGAACAGTTCGTTTAATAATATGTATATCACACACACACACACACATACACATACATACATGTCTATATGGTTTTGGTAAATTTGAATGTAAAGAGTTTAACCCAATCGGTGGAGTTTCTAGGAATTTTTTATTTGGAAGTGAAGGCATAAGAGGGGGCAAAGATCTAGTGGGGGGGGGCAGTATGACTGTCCCACCCATCCACTCAAAAACTAACACTTTCATGCCTGATCTTTCAAATGGGGAATCCCACTTTACACCACCCATATGGACATGCCTGTGTACCTGTTCTGTTTGACTTTTAACGTATAATTATTTTGTAATTGCTCATCGAGTTTATTCTAAAGCGCAATGTTCGTTTGAGGAATCTTTATTTGTTTATTCCTTCCTGGAAATTTTAATAAAATAACTATCGTGTTTTCAGTGTTTACTAACACCTTACACCGAAAACTAACTTACTTGCTTTTAAGGAAACTGTTTTAGTTTTCAAACATTCAAATATTCGTAACAAATGGAGTATACATTAACAGGTGAAAACAAAAAGTGTCTGGTCAACATTAGGCCCAAAATTGTGTGTATTTTCTAACTTACGTCGTTACTTTGTCACGTTCACGACTGATTTAACGACTATAGAATTTGAGTCAGCTTACACCGTTATACCACTCGAATTCGAATCTTAAAACTGGTCTCTTTATTTCGAGGCACGGAATCAAACAATGAGATACGCCAACAGAGCACAGGCTTTATGTCAAACAAAGCAAAATATGCTTATGACATTTAAAAACATCGTATCCACAAATATAGTTAAAATTGGTATGCAAATCTTAATTACGCATACAGGATTTGTTCAACGTGAAGGTACTATTCGCGGAGAAACAAACCTTGTATTTTAACATTGTTAGTTCGTAAATTTACTACTTACTCACCGATAGTCAATTGTAATATAATTAAGTTATACATATTACCATGGCAACAATACATAAACAACGTATCATGGCAATAACACACAAGCAACAGGCTCTAAACGCATATGTTTATTATGCTACAGATTAAATATTTTTACCTCAATTTTTATACCTTGTATTTTATTTTCTCCATACCTGTATTCTAGTATTTGTTCTGTTGTTGTATTATATAATAAAATCGAACTTTTGACAAACAAGTCTTATTCTGGATTTCATGGTCCTTTTCTTAAAAGCATAATTATGCCGTGTTATTTTTTTTTACTATACATTTGTGTGCGTGAAGAAATTGGCCTGTTTACGCTGTCGTTGGCTTAGCGACTCTGGTTTGAAAGCTTTAATATTACAGTTTCTTATTATCTCAGAGTCCAGTGTGGTCCAATAGTAGGCGCACTGGGTTTCTAACATCAAGGTTGAAGTTTCAAACAGCGTTTTCAGCTAGGCTGAGGGGGGGGGGGGTTGTAGATGTGACTTCAATCCTGCTATTCGACAATAAAAAACCGCTTAGGCGGTGGATGCTGCTGACTGGTTGTTTTCTTTCTGGTCAACAAATTAGAAATGGCTATGCTTGAACCATAGGAGTTCCTGACCTGGCCGTTTCGCTTACGTGTCGCATAAGGCGCCGTTCAGGTTGAAAATATCAATCTTATCACAAATACCAAATTTAGGATATGCAAAGTCGTTTAAGATGATATACATAGCAAAAAATTAAGCTTATTCACATAGAACAAACCAGATATTTAAATAAGTTTCAATTTAGAAACTACGGTGAATAAAGCACGCCGATGAAAAACTTTAGAAAAGGATTTATTAAAATTATATATTTAGAAAGGGCGATGTACACTAAGGATGGAGATTATTAAAGAAAGTTAACAAACCTGTTTTATCGTATTGTGATCAGAGACAAGTTATTATTTCAAAACTGGCCCAAAAGGTAAATGTTAAGTGAATAGAGGATTAAAACAAGAGAATTTGTTTCCTTACGTTAAAAATATTGCTGACAAAATATATCTTTAGCTTCATAGAACAGTTAATTAAAAATATTTCTGACAACATATATCTTTAGCTTCATAGAACAGTTAATTAAAAATATTTCTGACAACATATATCTTTAGCTTCATAGAACAGTTAATTAAAAATATTTCTGACAACATATATCTTTAGCTTCATAGAACAGTTAATTATAAATATTTCTGACAAAATATATCTTTAGCTTCATAGAACAGTTAATTATAAATATTTCTGACAAAATATATCTTTAGCTTCATAGAACAGTTAATTATAAATATTTCTGACAAAATATATCTTTAGCTCATAGAACAGTTTTGCAACTTATAATATTTTTTTCTGTGTGTAATAATTTTGACAAATTGTGTTCCGAAAAAATATCGTGTCTTCACCAAGTGCATTATTTTTTTATTCGTAATGGGTCTCGTGGGTATTACTTAAATATGTATTAAACAGTCCCTATTTCAGTAATAATCGCAGCTATATATATATATATATATATTCTTTTTTTTTGGCACAGGAGTGGCTCCATTACTTCTATCAAGTGCCAGCCAGTAACAGAACAAGTGCTGCCCAAAGATTATGAACGTTATGACGCGCCATTGGAAGACGGTGAGTTTCTAATTATCGGGCATTGCTAACAGCATGTGAAGATGTTATATTTTTGATGTTTGTCTCATAACATGAATGGCTGACAAAAATAAAACCCACATGCTGTAGTATTGTTATGGCGTGTCTTTCTATGCTTTGTATAAATTAGAAATATGTGGAGAATTTATTACAAATAATTACACTTACATTTGTATGATGCATGAAGTCGGACTGGCGTCCCCTTTTGGTCGATGAACGAAGCTTATCACATTAAAAAAAACGCTAATATTGTAAAAATGATTTTCTGAAAATATTTCTCTCACACTAGACGCTCTATTGTTAACAATCCATATATATGTGTGTGTATATATATAACTTTTAATATTTCGTTTTAACAAAAAACATAGTTATATTGACTTGATAGGATATCCAACGAGAAGTCATTTGGAAATAATAAAATTCTTTATATGCTTAGATTCACTGAATATCCAGATGGTTGAATTTTTTTCTGGGTATAAGTTTCAGTTTTTTGTAATTAAGCACAATGCTACACAATGGGCTATCTGTGCTCTACCCACCACGGGTATCGAAACCCGGATTCTAGCGTCATTAGTCCGCAGACATGCCGCTGTGCCACTGGGGGCTTCTGGATATAAAATATTCTGACGAACTGCTATATTGAACAATATTCCGTATTCACCAAATGTATTCTGGGATTTGACAGGTATTCCTCGAGGTTGTCAAAGGTGTTTTCTAGATTCATTAAATACTTTGTGAGCTTATATGATGTGTTATCATGTTATAGAAATTAATTTTATGGTTCTAGAAATGCTGTTTCAAAAATAAAAAAGCTTAAATGTCACACACATAGAGGATTATATATTTCCTTAACTAGTCGTGTCATAGTGGTTAGCATGTCGAACTGTGAAGCTGACGGCCCATAATGTCGCAAAGACAGGCTCCACACTTTGGGACGATGTTTGCGTTATAAGTGTGACGGTCAAATACCACTATCTGGTTAGAGTAGCCAAAGAGTTGGTGGTGGGTTGCATTGACTAGCTGCTATTCCTCTATTCTGTCATTTGAAGATGAGGGACGACTGTCACTTGTTTGTTTATATTTGTTTGTAGTTATGCACAATGGGCTATCTGTGTTCTGCCCACCACGGATATCTAGCTTTGTAAGTCCGCAGACATACCGCTGTGCCACTGGGGGGGGGGGCGGAATATTGTGACTTGAGTGTGACAAAGCCTACACATTGATGGGTAAGTACCAGATAAGAGAAAACGATGAGTTAAAAAACTACGACCAATGCATGGCCCAACCAAAACAACTTCCCCCTTTCGATCTTTATGGAGAGAAGACGACCAGAGAGCAACTGTTGGTCTAACCTGGAAAAGCTTGTAACGACGTTGTTTACCCAAAGCTGATTGCCAACTGGCGCAAATGTGAGCTTTGAGTAAAGGACTGCAGTCCATATAAAGGACAGGCACGGCCGTGGAGGCACCAGAGCAAACAGACATAGATGCGGTGTCAGTGAGCTGTTTCTCGCGAATACCGACGTGGCAAGGTATTCAGAAATAGTGGATGAAAATAGAGAAAAATGGGCCAGTCGTTTCTGAATATCTACGAGAACAGGGTAAGAACTAACGTGAAGCGATTCCAGGGCTAGTAGAGAGCTAAGAGAGTCAGTGTAAATAGTACAGTTAGTGTACTGCATAGCTTCTACATGATCCAAGGCAAGAGAAACGGCATACAACTTGGCAGCAAACACAGAAACTGTAAAGGGGATCCAGTGAGCAACCACCGAGCCACAACAAACCATGGCAAAGCCCAAATAATCACCTGATTTCGAACCATCCATATAAACGGGAATAGAAGAATGGTTCGAAAGATGTTCGACAAAGATAAGACGGTATTTCCAATCGGCAGCATCCACCTTCCTCAGATGGCTCAAAGAAAGGTCACATTTTGGGATGATAATAAGCCATAGTGGAATAGGCTGATCATTGATCACAGGAACGTCATCCAATAACAAACCCAATTCAGCCAGTTGTGCCTGGATGTTAAAGTCAAAAAAAAAAAAAAGAAAAAGGAATTCCAGACCATCTATTCTGGATGAGCACAGCCCACCAAGAAAGAAAGACACAAACCCAGGTGGGATGCTGTGGTAAGGATCGAAGCTTGGTAGCATACTGCAAAGAGAGTTGCAAAGGGCAGAGGTGAAGAAGAGATTCGTGGGACACACACTGGACTGGAGAAGTGTGGAAAGCCTCCATGCAGAGCCAAAGCCCCAGATAGTGAATGGGATCCAACATTTTGAAGGCAGAGACCCTGGCAGAACAATAGTCCAGTGTGGATTGAACGAGGGCATGATAGATCTTGAGTATAGAACATCGATCTGCTCCCCAAGAGATGGAAGAGAGGACATGGAGGATGTTCATTGCCCTTGTACACTTGACACATAGCTGTGAGAAATGAAAGTAAACTTATGATCAAAGATAAGCCCCAAGAACTTTACCTCACCGAGACGGAGCTCAGGCCACTAAGTTTGAAGTGGTAGACTAGATATAAGGCAGTTATTCAACACCACCTACCACCAGCTCTTTGGCTATTTGTTACCAACGAATAATGGGATTGGTCATCATTTTATTATTGTTATTCCAACACTACAATGGTTAAGAATAGTATAAATGTAAGTGTTTACAGTGTGTAAGTGTGATTGGTGCAATAACTGGGTTTTATTGAGAATTCAGGGCTGACATATATATTTATAGATGTTAGAAGTGAAAGTGTACAATTTGTATATAGCGTTTGTAAGTTGGAGGAGAAACTGAAGGCTGTTTTAAATGGACAAAGAGAAGGGTAAACTGCAAGCATTATAACAGGATTTAAGAAGGAAATTAAGCTCTTGAATGCGAGGGATACAGGGGCTAGTGATTACTTCCGGGAGGCTGGAAGCAGTAATAATAGGGCTAGTGGTGATAGATTTAATTACAAAGAGCAGACTCTGGTAAAGAACAGATTTCAGCCTTTGGCTTGTACAGGTGATGGACTTAAGGAGGTTATTGTTACGAGAGATTATTTAATACAGCACTGTGGAGTAGGACGTAGAGTCTGGGACCAAGGTACAAAAGAGGTTTTAATGATAAGCTAAACTGTTGTTATTAGTAGTATGAGATAGGACCCTGGAGCTGTAAGTAAACAAATACGACCTTCACCCAATTTCGACAAGTCTGTATAATGTGCAGAGGGCATTGACATAATATTTATCTCATTCATACTGATACACAAGGGGACGTGTTGCCATGTTCACATTGCTAGATGGTATAATAGGATTATGCCATTTTCTCAAGGGGCATGTTGCTATGGGCGAAATGGTAGGTGACATCAGATGGTGCTTACTAACATTTATCTTTTTCATATTATTTCATTCGATTTATAGTCTTTATTTTTATAATTAATTATCAAGGAAACTTTCTGGGATACTGTAGATAATATATATAATTAACTATCAAGGAAACTTTCTGGGATATTGTAGAGGATATATATAATTAATTATCAAGAAAACTTTCTGGGATAATGTAGAGAATAGCGATACAGAAAACTAAATGTACATTCGTGAAATTCGCATTATTTTATGATACATTAAGGAATTATTTTCTATGTTACTACTTTCTGTTTTTGAACTACAACTCACATATTTATTGTTTAAATATAACTTTACAAATATAACTCACCAAAATCTATAATAAAAGTCTAACCTCTTAAAAATGTAAAGGTTAAGAAACATAAAGAAATAACAGTATTGGCCATTGTCTTACAATTTGGGTTGTGTTCTTCAAATGTATCCGAGGAGGAGCTTTTAGATGTAGTTTCTGATTCTGTTTGTTTTGTATGGTTTAACAACGGATTTTGTACGTCACTGAGGCTACCAGTCAGTAAAACAAATTGATCTATTGATAACATCTTACCTTTAGAATTACACGCCTTCCAAGTTGAGAATAAAAATTGTGATCTAAATGCGTGTTGTTAAAAAAGTGTGTTCTACAGAACTGAATTAAGACTAACAACTGAGAAAGAACAAGTTGCCTACTTTACAAGGAAAAAAACGTATGAACACCGTTACATGATTTAAAAATGAAAAAAAAAACGGTAACGTGTCTTATAAATTATCGAAAATGTCATTACATCACAAAACGAGACACCTAAAGCATATGTAACTTAAGACCAGTTATAGTTATTCAAGAACATGTGAGTTCCTCTGTAAAAAGTAACTGTATTCTATATCAGTATGACAAATATAACATTCTCAGCTGCTTGACTGGGATCATCGGCTTCACAAGCCCAGCAATTCTCCTTTCTATGTGACAATTAACCTACTTCACGAGAAAAAACAACAACATACATTCTGATGCCTTCGGCCGTGATAGATATTGAAGAATGTTAAGGACGAACCACACATCATTAAAAACTAGCGCTCAGATGTTTTATACAGCGGTTATACAAGTGTGTTTTTATTTAAACAACCGTTTTTGAAGTATCATTTTTATAATTAATTCAACTGTAATAAAAAATGGTTGAAGGGGAGAGGTTGGGGATCATCTGGGTGCAAATGATCGTTATTCGATTAGATTTCATGTTTTGTTACATATGGAGATAAGTAATAATTAAATTTTGGTTCCAAATTTAAATAAAAACAAATTTTGAAGAGATAAGAAAATAATTATCTGCCATAAATTTGGCAACTGAATTAGTTGGAAATACTGATAAAATGTGGAAAAGTTATGCTTGTTCCTTATCGACAAAAAAGTGTGGCTGTATGTTTAAATAAACAAACAAACAGGTTGGCTGACAAAGGGTACAGATTCTAATATTAAAGAAAAAGATTATAAATAACATAACAACTTTAAATTTACTGCAATGATGGGCGATTTGGAAGGCTATAGAAGACTAAGATAGTTGGTTAAACGGGAAATTAGGAAATCAAAAACTATATGATAAAAGGTTGACTGAAAATA